CTGTTGAAAAACATTTCTTCTTCATAACAAAGAAGACTTGGTTCGATCACCATGCGTAATGTGTCATATACTAATATTATTTGACCTCTTCAAGATCATTTTTAAAATAGTTTTCGACACGTATAAATCAAATAATTGCATATCCAAATGTTCAAATCTTTTCCATATTATGTGAGGTAGAGGGAGAAATCAGAAAACAAAAATCAATGGAAGATGTCACATCCTACTTCTTCAACGCCCAAGAAATTAATTAATCTTCATTTCCCATTTGACACATTACTACAAAATAGATTAAGATACAATAAATTAATATTATTATTGTGATCGATGTTTAATATAACATTTGCCATTTTATAGATTTTTCCATGCTGGTGTAGAAATGTTCCTTCAAAATATCTCCTTTACCTATAGTAAACATGTTAAAACTTTTCTAAGGGCGAGAATGACAGGTTAACATCTTAGTTTGACATATTATTCAAATCCACCCGCATGAATGAACAGTAATCACATTTCTATGTTGTCTTCAGCATCTCTGGCTTGCATGACATTAATTTTGTGCACCTTAAAAGCATGTTACAGATTAAAATAGGACGGCATGTGTGTGAGAGAGAGAGAGAGAGAGTATTAAACTAAAGCTGAAAATGAAAATAAAATGATATTAACATTTCGAGTTTATAACTTTTGGAAGTAATTTGTTCTACTTGATCGCCAGGCAAAATTAATGGATGCAGCAAGTGAGATATGTAATATGGCCATTCCTAAGGGAAGGTGTGTTTTTTAAGTAAAAGAAAGAAAATCAGACAACGTTAAATAATGGTGATTTTTTCTTGAGTTAGATAGTCTGGAAAAAATATCCCTCTTCACTTGCAAAAGAAAAAAAGTCAACAGACTAATTCAAAAGAAGCTATTGACAACTTGCATTAGCCAGCAAACTAATGAATTATCAGTAGTTAACATAATTTAATCCATAGTTAAGACACTCTATCGACACATAAGATAAGACAAACCACAGTTTGTGGATAGTGCCAAGGGTATACGTAAATGATTGGAAGTGCCTCATATTCTCTCAAAGATTGGAGATGAACCTATTGATTTTGTTCGTACCTTCGTAAGTGTTTCCAAGAATTTTTCATGCTTGCTTTGCAGTAGTAGCATTCAATATCTATTGAAAATTTATATGTTAAGCACTTAATGAATCATGCTAAGAGCCTTTTGATCCTTCCTCTTAGGGTCCATGCAATCTAGACTTTTTAAACATTTTTGTAGATTTGAATATTATGTCAAAGTAAGCTGCTAGTAAGTCATTAATCTCGCCCTTACATAAATTCAAATGTGTTTACTATACGTAAAGGAGATATGTCAGGGCATTTCTACTAATGCGTGGAAAAAGTCTAAAAAGGCAAATGTTATATTAAGGCATCATGACGTGCCTAGCTACATCTCTTTAAAATTGCAATTAATTTCATATTTAAAATCCATATCATATGAATGATTGATTGTAATGTGGAAAATGGAAAATAAAGATTGACTAATTTCCTGGGAGGTGAACCAAGGAAGTAGGATGTGACATCTTAACCATTGATTTTATTATTATTATTATTATTATTATTATTATTTAATTCTCCCTATAGCTTGTGTAAATTAACAAACCAACTTATTTGGATTACAGAATAGATTTGAGCATTTGATCATGAAATGATTTGAATTATATAAATTTTATTGAGAACAAGTAAAACAGATGATTTTGAAGTGGTCCAATATTTTACACATTGATCTTGCTAAATCTTCTGTGTTTTGGAGAAGAAGAGTTCTTCAACAGCTAATGTTTTTTTTCTTTTTTTTTCTTTTTTTTTAAATACCCAGTTAAATTAGTATATTTGCATCTTCTTGCTCTTCCAGTCTTTCTGTCATCAACTATTCAAATTAATTGTAAGAGTTAAATATCGGTAGCTTCAAAAGGATATTGAAAAACAAACAAGCAAATGGGAGGTAATTTTCAACATTGTAAGTCAATTGATCGAGATTATATGCAGTGTATAGTTATCATTTTAAATTACCAGTTGTACTAATATAGGGATTTGGGGTTCTTTTGCCAAAGGTATCCTATTGTAGCAGTTCGTGTATTATTTTGCACAATTCACATAATAACCTGGTTAACTATTGTAACACTTCATGTTAAATTTTCTAGTTAATCATGACATAAGATTCTCTGTGAGTACGTAGACTAAATAGAGTTTCACAAATTAAGTCGTAAAGTAATATTGTTGACAACAAAACAATTTATTGAGTATTATAAATTGATTGCACAAAAATTCAGAAATATGCTTCAAGAAACATAGATTACATGT